GCCCACCTCTAGTGTCTACATCAAAGACATTGAAAATTGTTATGTCATCTTATGTCTTTACGTTGAAGACATGCTTATTGTTGATAGCAATGATAAGATGATTAAATCTACTAAAAATATGTTAAATTCGATATTTGACATGAAGGATATGGGTTTAACTAATGTTATACTTGGAATTAAAATTTCAAGAACATCAGATGGGCTTGTTCTAAATCATCTCATTATGTGGTCAAAATTCTAGAAAAGTTCAGTAAGGATGATACTGAAGTGACTAGAACACCGATAGATACAAGTCAATATCTATACAAGAACAAAGGTGAGATTGTATTTCAAGTAGAATACTCGAGAATTATAGGAATTCTGATGTATTTGATGAGTTGTACAAAATCAGACATAGCCTACACGGTGAGTAAACTAAGTAGATATACGAGTAACTCAGGAACTGATCACTTGAAGGGAATAATAAGAGTACTGAGGTACTTGATATATACTCATAATTTTGGATTGCACTATACTAAATATCAAGCGGCCATTGAAGGATATAATGATGCTAATTGGATATCGATATAAAAGACTCAAAATCCACAAGTGGATTTATGTTCACATAACAGGTGCAGTTATATTCTGGAAATCTTCTAAACAAATAGTGATAGCCATATCCACTATGGAATTTGAATTTATAGCTCTAGATAAAAGTGGTGAAGAGGCTGAATGGTTGCGCAACTTCTTGGAGGATATTTCAGGATGGTCAAAACCTGTGCGAGCAATTTGCATATATTGTGATAGTCAATCAACAATTGGATGGGTACAGAGTAACATATACAATGGTAAGTCTAGGCATATGCGTCGTAGACATAATATCATAAGGCAACTACTCTCAACAGGAGTTATCACCATTGACTACGTAAAGTAAAATGATAACATTGCGCATTCGCTAATCAAATGATTAAATAGAAAGTTAGTTGAAAATCATCAAGATGAATGAGACTTAAGCCCTTGA